TTACAATATTTTACAATATATGTGAGTCACCTTAGTGTGTTAGTTCCTAGCCTTGGTGTGTATGTGAATGTATCGCCAAGGTGTGTAGGTGTTTTCTGTGTTAGCTTGTCGTGCAACTGGGCCACAAATCACTCAATCACAACACAATCAAATATAACTTTAGCTTTCTCTGTGTTTTCCATGACAACAGAAACACCCCCTCCCCCCCCCCCCAATCATCATGGCAATACAAAATATGTCACCAACTACAGACTGACATACCCATCAATAAAAAAAAATGGCAGAAAGGTCTTATACATCCAGTGGTTGTAAAAAAAAATTCAAAATTTCATAATTGATCCTAAGAAGGGCTCGATAGAAACAGACAGATGGTTTTAGGGAGGCATTCAATAATTATGCAGGTTTTAAATCATTTGTTTTTTGAAAGCTAAAAGGTAACCGCAGTACTTTATCCCTCCCTATAAAAATATGGCATCATGGCGGATAAACAGCTATTCGACTCGTGGTCTGGATTATTCTGTGTTAGAGCTTCTGCATGAATTCCAACCCCCTCTCCCAACCCTAGGCCCGGTTAAACGACACACCCACCCTACCCTTCTCTTCCCGTTACACAATTCCCCCAAATATACACAAATGCGGGGGGGGGGGGGGTTGCTGGACATGAGGAACAGTCAGTAGAAGAAAACAGTCAGCCATCCCCCTCCCACACCTAGCATGTGACGTCATTAATAGCCTACAGGGCACTTAATCTACTAGGGCAGATAACTCTTCCCACCCTGTTCCCCGACCATTGTTGTTGTCACTCATTGACAGACTCCATCACTGCCTAAATTATCTTCTGCCCGCTGTGGTCAAAGCTTTTACTGGATTAAATTTTGGAATCATTTAAAAGGTCGCAAAACAAAGAAAAGACAACTCATCGATCTAGTTGTGTAAACATTCTAATGGTTATTTCCCTTTATCAGTCGTCAAACAAAAAAAATAATAATGTGCAAATAAAAAGCTTTTATCATTACACTTTGAAGGGTTTGTGCTGTCAAATAGATTTAATATTTACGTTTTGGGATAGCAAGTTAAACAGACGAATGGTGGGGAGGACGGGAATTAGGAGAAAATTGAAAGGTGGGCAGGCATTGGAATGTAAAATCTAGGTAGATTTAGTAGATAATTTGTGCAACTTAAATGAATAATTTAATCGGAGTTATTTGATCTAGGCAGATTTAATAAATTAGTAAAATTGTGTGGATGATCTAGGCTGATTAAGGAGTTAATTTAGGCAGATTTAGCAGTGGATGATCACGGCAAATTCAATGGATAATCTAGTCCGATTAAGTGGATAATGTAGCTGGATGAATATTGCAGGATGGATAAGTGGATAAAAGATACATGGACATACGATCTAAGACGGACGAGTATTTAATCAGGCAAATAATAAGAACCTGTCAGATGCGGACATAGGTCTATCTATCACTTGCCGCATCAACCCGTTTCCCCATGTCTATTTATAGCGCGGTAAGGCGGAATAACTCGTGCAAGTGGATTTTTTTTTACCTCCCTTGCATAGACGGTTCACTCAGTATGCAAGGCAGCTTAACATTTTCTTTACTGCTGCATCTATTGATATTTGTTTCATTAAGTTAAGTTTGTCAAGAACATCTCGCCCAGTTTCAAGAAGAAGCTACCACAAGTCGTGTACTCTTGTAGGAGAAAACATCTTGATAGGAGAGTGAGTCACCCGATTGATTACAAATAATGTTCTTCGCATACACACGCACACACAAGCGCACACATGCACGTACACATACACACGTAAACACACACACACACATAGACACACTCGTACACACACATACACACACGTACACACACACATACACACACTCACACTCGCACGCACACTCACATGCATATACACCAACTCACGCACACACATACACTTGCAAGCACGCACACACACACACACGGATACAGAGACACAGTCACACAAACATACGAACACACAGACAAACAAACATACCGACACACAAATATACACGCGCACACACACAGAGACACAGACACACACACATACACATACCCACTCACGCACACGCACACAGTCATACACACACACACACTTCTTGCGTCTTTAATCCCACCTGCAGCGTCACATCCCACTGCCCTGGTTCCGCCCGAGTGGATCACAAGACGCGATCATGCGTGACCCGCCGGATGACGCGCGGTGCCACGGTGCCAGAGGCATGAGCTCGATCAGTGGATGAGCACGGTGCTCATAGTCAGTGATTCACGTGTGCTCATTGTCAGTGCTCACTTTCAACTGGAGCCTATCGGGCGGGGCTATATATAGCCCCACCGCTGCCCAGGTTGTTCAATATTCATTAATTTCATTCCCTGGTCTGTGAAGATAGTGGCGTAATTAAAAGTGATTTTTTTTTCTCTCGTTTGATTTAGGCTGTGGTGTAGTTCAAAGTGGACTTTTGATATGGTTAAGTGGTGTAATTAAAAGTGGTCATTTTGTTTTGAATGATGCGGTGAACGTTAAAAGGTGGACATTTGATGCGGTATTGTGGTGTAATTAAGAGTGGTATTCCCTTAAGGTGAAAAGTTACAAGTGTCCTACTCAGCGATCAAAGGGGTGAGCCCTGCTATGTTATAAGTGTCATTGGTGAGTGCAGCGTGCACCGCTGTCGTATCACTTCTATAGAGTGGAACTAGGCAGGACATGCACTTTTTTAAAACAGTGTATTGTGGTTAAATGACTTTAAAATTTGGCTGCTTGTGTCAGAGAACATTTTTTGCGTATTTACATCCACAACCATATATATATATATATATATATATATATATATATATATATATATATATATATATATATATATATATATATATATATATATATATATATATATATATATATATATATATGTATATATGTATATATGTATATATGTATATATGTATATATGTATATATGTATATATGTATATATGTATATATGTATATATGTATATATGTATATATGTATATATGTATATATGTATATATGTATATATGTATATATGTATATATGTATATATGTATATATGAATATATGTATACATACACACACACACACACACACACACACACACACACACATATATATATATATATATATATATATATATATATATATATATATATATATATATATATATATATATATATATATAGACATATACATATATATATACATTTATATGTACATATTTTAACATATATATATATATATCTTTTTATATATATACATGTGTGTGTGTGCGCATTTGTGCTCTTGTATGTTATAGTCACGAAGCTATTCATCACTTAGTAATTGCTTGTCAGCTTTCAACCAAACGTAAAAACGATTGAGGCCGCTGGTAATTACATCACGGCCTGACAAGCCATGTAACTTTTAACGTGATGTGACGTCACATTTAGAGTGTCTTGACGTCACAGTGAAGGTCACATTTAACGTGCTGGTCCCAGACCTGAAAATGTGATTTGGCGCGAGCGTGCACGTGCAAGTATCGACGCTGTCTGGGGTATCGCCGCTCGAGTTGATCGCCTTAACGATATATTAGGTAATCGATAGATCAATAGAGGTGAAATAATCGCGTTGGATGAGATTTCCAGTTTTTTTAATGTGGATTAGATCGATGCAATGTTGGAGCAGGCGTGACCTCTGTCTGGACAGGCGTGACCTCTGTGTGAGATTATTTCGGTTTTTTTAATGGATGGTTTGTTTCGTTATTTCGTTTTGTGAATACGTCTGTGAAATCGTAAGGTTACAGTTTTTTAAATTTTATCTCTCTCTCTCTCTACTCTAAAATGTAAATATACGCAGACGTAAAACGATGTTCTATATTTTGACACACGCTAAAGGTATTAAGTCGTCTGCTGATGACGTAGTTTAGTGACGCTAGGGATTTGAGTATAATGGAGTCTTGCGTCGAGAATCTGACTTACACTTTTTACGATGTTTTTAAAAAATTTGAAATGACTTTTGTCGTAGTGGCCCGCAGGTTTTTTTTCCAGTGTATAGGGGCTCTGGAAGAATAGGGAGGGGGGGGGGGGGAAGGGGGGCTGCTACCGTGTTGACCCACCCTGGGACCTATACCTGGTGAAATTAATTTTTGTGGAAACAAAAATCATAATAAAAAAAATAAAGCCCATTAACAGAATTGTTTATCTTGCTGAACAGAATATCCAAATACCATAAAATAGAAAGCATATTATACTTTAACTCGTAATTTACCATCATTGACACGCATTTTCCTCAAATGATAGGTGCAATATATTCACACATCACATTCCTCACCTACATCTCACACAACCTACACACATCTCACACAACTTACACACATCTCACACAACTTACACACATCTCACACAACCTACACACATCTCACACAACCCACACACATCTCACACAACCTACACACATCTCACACAATCCACACACATCTCACACAACCCACACACATCTCACACAACCTACACACATCTCACATAACCCACACACATCTTACACAACCCACACAATCTCACACAACCCACCTCACACAACCCCCACACACACCTCACACAACCCACACACATCTCACACAACCTACATATAACTCCCCACATTCCCCACATCTCAGAAACATCTTACACACATTCTATAACCTCACACCCTTAATGACTACACGTGACACACGCAACAAGTATAGGCATTTCTAACAACAAGATCACGATTTAGACCTCGATATTGGCAATTTTATCATCCTGGTTAGGTTGTGAGGTGGTTTAACCAGATACTCTAGGATGGTGACAATGGGTTTAACCTGACTACCAGGGTTTAGCCAGGCAGCAAAGGACGAGTTTTGGTTTAACCCGACGAGAACCCCCCCCCCCCCCCCCCCCCACCAAAGAAAAAAGTTAAACTGACAAAGATGTCAGTTAATAAATTATTCTTGAAAGTCGTATTGGCCACATATTCACTGGACACACCGGACACATACTTGCTGGACACAATGGTCATACATTTGCTGGACACAGACTTGCTGGACACAGAGTTGCTGGACAAAGAGTTGCTGGACAAAGAGTTGCTGGACACAGACTTGCTGGACACAGACTTGCTGGACACTGGACACAGACTTGCTGGACACAGACTTGCTGGACACAGACTTGCTGGACACAGACTTGCTGGACACAGAGTTGCTGGACAAAGAGTTGAGGGACAAAGAGTTGAGGGACAAAGAGTTGCTGGACAAAGAGTTGCTGGACAAAGAGTTGCTGGACAAAGAGTTGCTGGACACAGACTTGCTGGACACAGACTTGCTGGACACAGACTTGCTGGACACTGGACACAGACTTGCTGGACACAGACTTGCTGGACACAGACTTGCTAGACACAGACTTGTTGGACAAAGACTTGCTGGACACAGACTTGCTGGACACTGGACACAGACTTGCTGGACACAGACTTGTTGGACACAGACTTGTTGGACACAGACTTGCTGGACACAGACTTGCTGGACACTGGACACAGACTTGCTGGACACTGGACACAGACTTGCTGGACACTGGACACAGACTTGCTGGACACAGACTTGTTGGACACAGACTTGCTGGACACAGACTTGCTGGACACAGACTTGCTGGACACAGACTTGTTAGGCACTGGACACAGACTTGCTGGACACAGACTTGCTGGACACAGACTTGCTGGACACAGAGTTGCTGGACACAGACTTGCTGGACACAGACTTGCTGGACACAGACTTGCTGGACACAGACTTGTTAGGCACTGGACACAGACTTGCTGGACACAGACTTGCTGGACACAGACTTGCTGGACACAGACTTGCTGGACACTGGACACAGACTTGCTGGACACAGACTTGCTGGACACAGACTTGCTGGACACAGACTTGCTGGACACTGGACACAGACTTGCTGGACACAGACTTGCTGGACACTGGACACAGACTTGCTGGACACTGGACACAGACTTGCTGGACACTGGACACAGACTTGCTGGACACAGACTTGTTGGACACAGACTTGCTGGACACAGACTTGCTGGACACAGACTTGCTGGACACAGACTTGTTAGGCACTGGACACAGACTTGCTGGACACAGACTTGCTGGACACAGACTTGCTGGACACAGAGTTGCTGGACACAGACTTGCTGGACACAGACTTGCTGGACACAGACTTGCTGGACACAGACTTGTTAGGCACTGGACACAGACTTGCTGGACACAGACTTGCTGGACACAGACTTGCTGGACACAGACTTGCTGGACACTGGACACAGACTTGCTGGACACAGACTTGCTGGACACAGACTTGCTGGACACAGACTTGCTGGACACTGGACACAGACTTACTGGACACAGACTTGCTGGACACTGGACACAGACTTGCTGGACACAGACTTGCTGGACACAGACTTGCTGGACACAGACTTGCTGGACACAGACTTGCTGGACACAGACTTGCTGGACACAGACTTGCTGGACACAGACTTGCTGGACACAGACTTGCTGGACACAGACTTGCTGGACACTGGACACAGACTTGCTGGACACAGACTTGCTGGACACAGACTTGCTGGGCACCGACTTGCTGGACACAGACTTGCTGGACACAGACTTGCTGGACACAGACTTGCTGGACACAGACTTGCTGGACACAGACTTGCTGGACACAGACTTGCTGGACACAGACTTGCTGGACACAGACTAGCTGGACACAGACTTGCTGGACACAGACTTGCTGGACACAGACTTGCTGGACACAGACTTGCTGGACACAGACTTGCTGGACACAGACTAGCTGGACACAGACTTGCTTGACACAGACTAGCTGGAAACTGGACACAGACTTGCTGGACACAGACTTGCTGGACAGACTTGCTGAACATATACTTGCTAGACACAAGCTTCTGATGCCCACAGGCTAGCTGGACATAGAGAGGACAAGTCAACAAATAGCTCACACTGAGGCCTGTGTAAACTGAGCTCAATCAATGGATCAATCAGATGTCTATTTTATTTAAGCCAGACGAAATACATTTAGGTCAAGGTCAGGAATATCCAGTCGCCAGACGAAATGAAATTGTCAAGGTCATGCAGAATAGATGAAAGTTTATATGTCAAGGTCATGTCAACGAATTTTATAAACTTATTTAGGGCATGGGCGTTCATTAGCCAGATCTAATACAACTGTAAAGGTCAAGGGCATGAGTATTCAATCGTCAGTAGCCACCCACCGACTGACCCACCAACCTATTTACCTACCCACCGACTGACCCAATCACCAACTGACCCAATCACCAACTGACCCACCCACCCAGCCACGTACCTACCTTCTCAACCAACTGCAGACATGATTGACCAGAGCAACTTTGTCTTTCGTCCTCTCCACCAGCTGCATTCCTCGTCAGGCTGATCAATATTTGTGTCCGTCTAGGCTTCGTTGTTTGAAGGCTGGGTGGTTTCTGTTGACTGGTGGTTTTTGTTGACTGTATCTGGTGGGTGGGTGGTTTCTGTTGACTGTATCTGGTGGGTGGGTGGTTTCTGTTGACTGTATCTGATGGGTGGTTTCTGTTGACTGTATCTGGTGGGTGGTTTCTGTTGACTGTATCTGGTGGGTGGGTGGTTTCTGTTGACTGTATCTGGTGGGTGGGTGGTTTCTGTTGACTGTATCTGGTGGATGGGTGGTTTCTGTTGACTGTATCTGGTGGGTGGTTTCTGTTGACTGTATCTGGTGGGTGGTTTCTGTTGACTGTATCTGGTGGGTGGGTGGTTTCTGTTGACTGTATCTGATGGGTGGTTTCTGTTGACTGTATCTGGTGGGTGGTTTCTGTTGACTGTATCTGGTGGGTGGTTTCTGTTGACTGTATCTGGTGGGTGGTTTCTGTTGACTGTATCTGGTGGGTGGGTGGTTTCTGTTGACTGTATCTGATGGGTGGTTTCTGTTGACTGTATCTGGTGGGTGGGTGGTTTCTATTGACTGTATCTGCTGGGTGGTTTCTGTTGACTGTATCTGGTGGGTGGTTTGTGTTGACTGTATCTGGTGGGTGGTTTCTGTTGACTGTATCTGGTGGGTGGGTGGTTTCTGTTGACTGTATCTGGTGGGTGGTTTTTGTTGACTGTATCTGGTGGGTGGTTACTGTTGACTGTATCTGGTGGGTGGGTGGTTTTTGTTGACTGTATCTGGTGGATGGTTTCTGTTGACTGTAGCTGGTGGGTGGTTTCTGTTGACTGTATCTGGTGGGTGGTTTCTGTTGACTGTATCTGATGGGTGGGTGGTTTCTGTTGACTGTATCTGGTGGGTGGGTGGTTTCTGTTGACTGTATCTGGTGGGTGGGTGGTTTCTATTGACTGTATCTGGTGGGTGGTTTCTGTTGACTGTATCTGGTGGGTGGGTGGTTTCTGTTGACTGGTGGTTTTTGTTGACTGTATCTGGTGGGTGGGTGGTTTCTGTTGACTGTATCTGGTGGGTGGGTGGTTTCTGTTGACTGTATCTGATGGGTGGTTTCTGTTGACTGTATCTGATGGGTGGTTTCTATTGACTGTATCTGCTGGGTGGTTTCTGTTGACTGTATCTGGTGGGTGGTTGGTTTCTGTTGACTGTATCTGGTGGGTGGGTGGTTTCTGTTGACTGTATCTGGTGGATGGGTGGTTTCTGTTGACTGTATCTGGTGGGTGGTTTCTGTTGACTGTATCTGGTGGGTGGTTTCTGTTGACTGTATCTGGTGGGTGGGTGGTTTCTGTTGACTGTATCTGATGGGTGGTTTCTGTTGACTGTATCTGGTGGGTGGGTGGTTTCTATTGACTGTATCTGCTGGGTGGTTTCTGTTGACTGTATCTGGTGGGTGGTTTCTGTTGACTGTATCTGGTGGGTGGTTTCTGTTGACTGTATCTGGTGGGTGGTTTCTGTTGACTGTATCTGATGGGTGGTTTCTGTTGACTGTATCTGGTGGGTGGTTTCTGTTGACTGTATCTGGTGGGTGGGTGGTTTCTATTGACTGTATTTGCTGGGTGGTTTCTGTTGACTGTATCTGGTGGGTGGTTTCTGTTGACTGTATCTGGAGGGTGGTTTCTGTTGACTGTATCTGGTGGGTGGGTGGTTTCTGTTGACTGTATCTGGTGGGTGGGTGGTTTCTGTTGACTGTATCTGGTGGGTGGGTGGTTTCTGTTGACTGTATCTGGTGGGTGGGTGGTTTCTGTTGACTGTATCTGGTGGGTGGTTTCTGTTGACTGTATCTGGTGGGTGGTATCTGTTGACTGTATCTGGTGGGTGGTTTCTGTTGACTGTATCTGGTGGGTGGTATCTGTTGACTGTATCTGGTGGGTGGTTTCTGTTGACTGTATCTGGTGGGTGGTTTCTGTTGACTGTATCTGGTGGGTGGGTGGTTTCTGTTGACTGTATCTGATGGGTGGTTTCTGTTGACTGTATCTGGTGGGTGGGTGGTTTCTATTGACTGTATCTGGTAGCTAGAAAGTTTAGAAATTGGTTAGTATAGAATATAGTTACACTATCATACAAACCGATAACTACATCAGCATGTCGCCAAGTTTTTGATAGTTGTGCGTGGGGACATCCGACGCACATAACTGATTAATATTTTACTAATTCTACCTGTTGACTCGGGTTTATTTAATTAGGGAAAAAAAATCAATGTAATTGTGTATCCAACAGATTAGATAAGGCGTCGGATTTACGGTGGTGCATTAAAAAAATACCCGAGCAATTTGTGCACGTACTGTCAAGGGAGAGAAATTCTGCCCTGTCTATTGTTGACGTTGGGTTTTTTTTTTCTCTCCAAGAAACGAATTTATCCTACTATTTCAGCGATATCGTCTCGTAGACATAAAACATTTGTAAAAAAAAAAAATGTTTATCTTTCTGTCAATATCCGTCATGAATGTAAAAAGATGATAAATTCTCCGGTTTGTTTTACGGCATTAGAAGCGGTATTGATGGTTTCTATTTTTGGTTCGTCCAACGGCTCGAATTGATTGGGTCAGCGGGGTGGGCCGACACGTGATGCGCAGTAGGAAAGTTGTCGTGTACCTCGTGTGTCCATGTGCTGTCAGGTGCCGCCACGGGGAAGGGGAGGACACCCGTGATTTCTTGATGGATCTATTTTTAGACCACTCTTGAAGTGGCGGCGTTGTGAAAGGGTACAAGATGATTGTATGTTATATTTAGCAACAACATTGGCGAACATTATAGCATTTAGTATGAAACAACAATTTTATTCAATTACCGCGCCCCTTATATATATATATATATATATATATATATATATATATATATATATATATATATATATATATATAATGTGTGTATATATGTCTTTATATATGTATATATAATGCACATATATATGTATATATATATATATATATATATATATATATATATATATATATATATATATATATATGTATATATATATATATATATATATATATATATATATATATATATATATATCCTTATATTATATAAAACCAATGTAACCGATTACATATTACATGCGACTTTTTTAATAAAAACTTTCAAGATCTGGATTGGAATAAACATTTCATGTTAGAAAATGGTTTCTGGTCTCTGGAATAAATTAACCCACTTTCAATTTTTGATAACAAATACACGATTTTATAAAACTTCGAGCTAGAATTAAAAAAAAAACTTGATGGAGCCTTAAGCAGCTGTTCGATCCTGAAACCATGTGAAGACACAGACCTGTAGTGAACTGTCCGGTGACCTGTCGTGACCTCGCGTGACCTGCCTGGCACCAGTGACCTGGTGTGACCCTTTAGATGTCCGTGAGCCGTCCAGCGTCATGCAGTGCCAGTCGTGTGCACTGACCGAGAGTTTGTCTGAGGAGAACCTGCTCATCTCACTGGACTACCCGAAGGTCAGGTACCAGCCCCTGCCCAACCTGGAGGCCGATCTGTGAGTAGTTGTATGGCTAGGTGCAGTAGAGTGTTCTTGTTGTTCCATCGATGGCTAGGTGCAGTAGAGTGATCTTGTTGTTCCTTCGATGGCTAGGTGCAGTAGAGTGTTCCTGTTCGTCTGCTTCTTGTTACAGTAAAATGGAAAAGTCCACTTATGTCATATAGCTCTTTTTCTTGTCACTAGATTTTACCTGTAGACCATTCTTGTCACTAGATTTTACATGTAGACCATTCTTGTCACTAGATTTTACATGTAGACCATTCTTGTCACTAGATTTTACATGTAGACCATTCTTGTCACTAGATTTTACATGTAGACCATTCTTGTCACTAGATTTTACCTGTAGACCATTCTTGTCACTAGATTTTACCTGTAGACCATTCTTGTCACTAGATTTTACCTGTAGACCATTCTTGTCACTAGATTTTACATGTAGACCATTCTTGTCACTAGATTTTACCTGTAGATCATTCTTGTCACTAGATTTTACCTGTAGACCATTCTTGTCACTAGTTTTTACCTGTAGACTACAGAGGCGTAGCGACCCTTCCCGGCGCCCGCGGAAAACTTTCGATTTGCACCCCCCCCCCTCAAGATTTCGATTTGCACCCCTCCCCTCAAAATTTTGATTTGCACCCCCCACAAGCTTTCATTTTTATTTTTCCAACCCATTTTGGCGCCCCCTAAGGTCGGTGCCCGGGGACATATGTCCCCCACGCCCCCACCTCGCTACGCTACTGGTAGACCATTCTTGTCACTAGATTTTACCTGTAGACTATTCTTGTCACTAGATTTTACCTGTAGACCATTCTTGTCACTAGATTTTACCTGTAGACCATTCTTGTCACTAGATTTTACATGTAGACCATTCTTGTCACTAGATTTTACCTGTAGACCATTCTTGTCACTAGATTTTACCTGTAGACCATTCTTGTCACTATATTTTACCTGTCGATCGTACTTGTCACAATAATTTTCAAGTGTCTTTACTTCTAGTTTCACTTTAAAAAAAGATTTCAATTCCCCCTTGTAAAAATATTTACTTGGTAACATCCAGCCCGCATGCTGTAATAGAATCAACAGGACTGCGTCCCTTAAGGTTAGATGTTAGAACCGTGCGCCAAAATGGAAGTCATGAGTTCGGTACCCATACAGACAGACTCTTAGTCGGTGGGAATAAATCAAACAGGGGGGTGTAGAGATGTAGAGGGTGGGTGGAGGGCATGGAGTGGGCAAGTCCCCATTCTACATCCCTTGACTAGGGGTCGGCGTGGTCGAGTCGGTAAAGCTCATGGTTGCTAAACCGAAAAGTCTCGAGTTTGAACCCTCGGGCAGATGACGCTCGTTAGCTGGGGACAGCCACTCTTCTAGGAGAGACAACTCCAAAATCAAACAACTGCTGCCTTGTAGTTTGTTCTTGGTTGGACAAAGGCTATAGATCTAGAAGCAAATCCAAAAAGAAAAGCAGGCCGAAATCGGTGTCAATGGCCTCAATGGCGCAAAACCAGTTGACACGTAATCCTTAATTGTGATGGAAGCATGGTCGAGTCGGCAAAGCTCATGGTTGATAAATTCGAAAAAAAAAGTCTGGAGTTCAAACCCTCTGGCAGATAAGGCTCGATCCTTCCCAACACAAAAAATTAAGAACGAAGAAGAAGAAGAATCCCTTGACTGTCTACCGTGCTAAGTACTTTTCTCCAAGCTGCTTCGTTGATAATTAATGCATGAAGTTGTTGTAATATGGTTTCAAGAACAACTTATAATTATAATTACAACTGCTTTATGTTGAAGATTATTTTCTGTGAATTTCTTTCAAAGTTAAAAATTTGTAAAGACCAAGGGAGTGAACCTATCATGATGATCTAAAAACTTGTTAAACTGATGACAAAATTCTAATTCAGCAAACCAGAAATTTTTTTTATTATTTATGAGTTTATTAAAAATGGAAATAAAAAACTTTATAAGACTTTTCCAATTCATTCAAAAATTGAGAATAATAATTCACCTATAATTTAAACAGAAACCATTATCAGTAATAACTAGCTCATTTGACGACTTTTAAAAATGTTTGCTTAATCATCGTTATGCTTCCCAGGGCATCATCCCTCCAAGTAAAGTATCATTTTTAACCATTTTTATAAGTATGAACAAGACGCGCCGGGGTGGCTTAAGTGTATGTCTGGCGAGAGGCACACAAAGTAATACAGCTCACCCATCAGTAATACACCCACCCATTAGTAATACACCCCACCCATCAGTAATACACCCCACTCATTAGTTATACACTCCACTCAACTTTAAAGTTCCGTGTAGACGGTTCCTTCTTTTAATTCTGCTTTTTAAATTATTCAAGTGTCTTGGTACTAATACCAAGGTCTCTGCCCTCATTTATCTCATGTGTACGAATGAATACACACACACTCAATCACTAACACCCACACACCCACACATGCACACGCTTACATACACACGCTTACATACACGCGTGTGTATGTGTTTGTGTGTGTAAATGATAAAATACTCTGGGTTGTTTTCTTTCATAACTCAGTTATTCCGTGTGTGTGTGTGTATGCGCGTGTGTGTGTATGCGTGTGTGTGTGTATGTGTATGATATGTCGGTTAAGGGTGGGCGTTGGGAGGTGCCAGAATGCTTAGGATTTTCAAGGGAGCGCAGTGATACGACGTTTGAGAACCGCTAGACCAGTGGATGTTAACCGGGGTTCGATCAAACTCCAGGGGTTCGGTGTGTCAGTCTCTGGGGTTCGGTCAAGACACACACCCGACTCGTACGATGCACGATAGAATTTTGTCAGTGCGGACGATAGAACTATTAAGAAGGGTCCGGTAATTGCGCGTATAAACAGGTGGGGTCGGGTATCTGCAAAAAGATTACGAACCACTGAGCGTGTCACGGCTGGACAGCCTCCACGTGAGGTTTAACTGGATGCCCGGGCACGGAAAAACTACCGAACACTGGAGGGAGGGTTTGGGGGAATCATGGGGAGTGGGGGAGGGTAATCAAAGAGTGTTTGTGCGTGTGTGGAGAGTGGGGAGGGGACAGAGTTTCTTCCAGGCATCTCTTCGGGGGGGGGGGCGATGCCCCCCCGAAATGTTTTTACCACCCCCCCCCCCCGAACGAAATGAAATCTATATAATTTATATAGAAAATATATAATTTTAACAGTGTCCGCCCCCCCCCCCGAAGAAAGTCTACCGCCCCCTCCCCCGAAAATTTCAAGTGCCCCCCCCCCCCCGGAGAAAAAAGTCTGGAAGAAACACTGGGGGGGGGGGGGGGGAGCAAGCTTATCACAGCTACCAGAGGGACGGAGTACTAAGTCAGGTGATTTGGTCCTCATTCTTATCAACCTTATACCAGGCAGTCTAAAGGGGGGGGGGGGGGGGGGGGCAAGAAAACAACAGAAAACAATATTGATATTGTTTTCTGTTGTTTTGATCGTGTTTATTGTAGGATTCCCCACAAATCTGATATAAAGTTGAATACTTTGGTGAACCCCCACAAACTTCCTCGATTTGTCAAAGATGAAAGTTACTTGTAAAGTTTTGACAGTTCAGTTACCTCTACATGCAGGCAGACTAAAAGAGATTAAAGAAAAAAAATACAGCAAAAAAAAAAAAAAAAAAAAAACCTGTCATCGATTGGTGTGTTTAGACACGTCACTGCATGGTGTGTGGCGTGGTAGGGTAGTGTCGCAGTGGTATGGGCTTAGGTTTTTGTGGGCTTAGGGTTTTGTGGGCTTAGGGTTTGTGGGCTTAGGGTTTGTGGGCTTAGGGTTTTGAGGGCTTAGGGTTTGTGGGCTTAGGGTTTGTGGGCTTAGGGTTTTGTGGGATTAGGGTTTGTGGTCTTAGGGTTTTGTGGGCTTAGGGTTTGTGGTCTTAGGGTTTTGTGGGCTTAGGGTTTGTGGTCTTAGGATTTTGTGGGCTTAGGGTTTGTGGTCTTAGGGTTTGTGGGCTTAGGGTTTTGTGGGCTTAGGGTTTGTGGTCTTAGGGTTTGTGGGCTTAGGGTTTTGTGGGATTAGGGTTTGTGGTTTAGTCTTAGGGTGGGTGTGTATAATTGTACAAGGCGGGGGGAGGGGGGAAGAGGATGGTATGATGGGGGTGGGAATAGTGTATATGTATAATTAAAACTAACGGTAGGGGGTCAGGGGTGGCCTTACAGGAGCTGGAGGAGGTGGATATGTATAATGTTATGTAGAGGTGGGGGTTGATGGGAGATTGGTGAGGTGGAGGTGTTTATTTTTGTGCTGACGTGACGGTGTGGGGGGAGGTGTAGTGGGAGACGCACTATCGGTTTTTGAATGTCAGGCTCTGAATCTATCTCTTCACCACTTATCAAAACGTTTATCTCATTCTGCTGAGATTATCTCAAAAATATATCTATATAAATGTCAGGCCGGTATTAGCTCCCTTTATTCAATAGATGACGAACGCAGGTTATCATAACCTTTTATTCATTTAAAAAAAAAACAAAAAAAAACTTATATTTTGTTTTATTTTTATAGCCGTTATTACAGGGAAATAACCGTTGCCGTTATTTTAAAGAATGGAAATAACTTGATTACTGTTCTTAGTATTGACATGCCATGTTATTAAGTATTAAGGAAATGATGTATCGGTATTTGAAAATTGCAGGAGCTTTAAGGCTGGGATTAGATCGCACGTAGCTACTCAATAGAAACGTCGCATACGGTTATATGGTTTACTCGTATGGCGGTAACATATTCTACAACTTTCATAGTCGCTTTATTGATGGCCTTTACTGTAGCTTCTTTATACCTGCTCTAGCTGATCAGCCAAACACCATAAGTATGGACAAATTTTACAGTAACTAGCTACGATCTTTTGAGGGTTTAAGAGTGACATATTCA